AACGGTTTTTACGTTGCGTATCTCAAACTTGCGCAATGTCTTTGTCGATGATATGGATAAGTTTATCCTCTTTGATTCCGGTTATCGTTGTGTCTGATGGACCATCAATGCCTAGTTTTTCAGCTAGTTTTGACTCGGTAAAGGTGAATGCTGATCATTCAGTGCAAACGTTTCTTTCGAGCAGTTTGGTCCGTAAACAACGACATGAACATATCTAAACAGGGTTGCTCCTTTTTGTCCGGCGTGCTTAACTACACCTGGGAACCTCTACGGTCGTCTTCGCCCAATCCATCTTCGGGTCGAATGGCAGCTTCTCTACTAGCTCTCGTAGTAGCATCGGGTCGTTTAAATAGGTCCTTAGTCCTATTGCTTCGACTGTGGCGCCAGAGCCAAGTTTTGAACAGCCAGAGTCAAGTGAACTAAAGTGTCTATGCAGTTGGGCTTTACAGTTGGTTCTGATCATTGTTTTGCTTGCAAGATGTGATAAATCAACTCCGAACGTCCAGACAGCATACGTAGGGTCTCCATGGCCTGCCGGACTGTGGCTGGTGCATCGGTTTTTCTCGTACGGCTTTCATCGCTGCTACTTTTAAGCATTTCTGCAGTCAACCATCGCATAGTTGATTGATCGTAATTCACGATGAAAATCTGGCACTCTTCGGGATTGCCGATGAAGTATGGTAAATCCTTGCTTACAACTTGTCTTGTAGCAATCTATGGTGCTGTGAGGAAGGAGCTCGTCTTCATAGGAGTCGACGTAGGGTAGCTCACGGGTGGATTGGGATTATACATATACTGACTTTTTACATAGCTCGGTACATAGGTTGAAGTATAGAACTGTAAACGAGGCTGTTTGGTATTGTTGCTACTGGTTCTTCTAGCAGGATAGATGCTGTTATTGGAAATGATCCACTTAGCTTTTACATTAGTCGTTATGGGCTGTTCGTTTTGCTGTACGAAACCCATGTTTTCAATCGCAGGATAATTGGCTGTTGCGCGGTTCCACCCTCCTGTGTACACGATGGATTTCAGAAAGCTGCCAATTATGGACTCTCCTGGATTGCTTGGTAACTCTCTAGCCTTTGTGCCCTGAACTGGGTACGAAGCGTTTTCGAAGATACTCGGCTGTACATGAAATCCTAGATTTCTTCCTTCCTTACTGGCGAAATGACTTGATCCTTTTGATTTTGAAATATAGGGTTTGCTGGTACTCGTTAATTTTTTGCAGATAATCATGGTTATTATTATAAGTTATTGTCTTGTCGAAGATGTGAGTTCCTGAAACAATTCAAAGTGTGTCAGATTTTTAGTATAATTAATGGAATTGTTATACGTAAATATTATTTCTTCCATTATATCGTTGTGCTCTACGTCCATTTTTTTTTTCTTTATTTGTTGTTAAAATAATTCTGTATATTTCCGTGATAGTCAAATGTATCTTTACTACTGTGGAATTGCTGCTAGACTGTTGGAAAAGGGTCAAATGGGGGATGACATTATATTGGCTTAAAAAATGTTAAAAATTTACTCCTGCGAATTTTGCGCCTTGATCGTAAACAATTTTTTTGGGATGCCAAACTGACTAAAGAATGTTTTAATTGAAGGCCTGTTGTCAAAATGTATGCTTGTGCAATTTTGAGAATTTTAATTTCCATAATTGTATGGTGTAGATTGTGATTTATTGTGTATATATCTATGTGCAATATACCCAAAAATTTGGAAAAAAATTTATGTTGATAATTTTCAATGCCAGCAAAATAAAAAGCTAATTGTATTAATTTAAACGTTATAAAATCTTTATTTGGCCGCATATGAAATTGGGATCTTATATATGTGTGAAATATAAGACGAACGAGAGTGACGCCAACCTTCGTTAATAGGCAAAGCGGATGCTCGCTAGCTTTAGATCAGTAATCGGCACGGCCCTATCCCGAGGGTAATTTCGCTGCCCGAGCTCTGCCACACACACAGTATAAATGTGTGAAACGTCATGCTCACATCCTACTTTCTGCTATTCGTTACTAACAATAATGCGTTAAAATCATATCAATGTATTGGCCCAGCAAGCAAAATTAGGAGGGCTCAAAATTATGTGTCTGAAAAGTGCCGATTTTAAGAGTGTTTTCTGAGTAGACACATAAATAAGAGCCTTTTCTGAGAAAATTTAATTTTCGCTGCATTCGGAGCATCGGTAAGTAAGTGCAAAGTAAATTTTCTCAAATTCATTCATTTCGGACATTAAGAGCAGTAAGTTGGACGTGTTAAGCAAGTGTTTAAAAAAAACTAATTTATTATTTCTTTAACTGTGAAGTGTATAATTTAAAGATGAAATGAGTGTTAACAGATCAAGCCGGTCGGAGTGCAAAAAAATAATTAATGCCCTGAAGGCAAAGAATCGATGCTGTGAGGAGCCTCTGCCATCAGATTCCACCAATGAACCGCTAATGGATTCAGGACATGTTTTGGAGGAAAATTTTATTGAAAATGAAAAAATAGTGACCTATCTGAACCTTCGGAAGACCTTGAGATCAAATCTCTTCGGGACAGTTGTCGAAGTCCATAAAGTAGCAGACATTACACTTAAAGCTATTATTTTAAATCTTTTGTCTAATGAATCTAAATCTAATGAACGATTTCAGCGAGCAATTTTTGAGCACAGATGAATCAACTTCGGCCAATGAAGTTGCCTATACTAGCTAATACTAGTTTCTAGCTATGCAAATCAATCCACATCAAGTAAGTATAGGTTTGAAAATCTATCTTCAAAGAAAACTAAGTAATTTTTCTCATTTTAAATATGTTGCAGCTTATTTATGACGAACTGAAAAAAATTAAACAAAAATGTAAAAGGTATAAAATAAATAATTTTCCATTTAGAGACTAAACCAAAATATATTTTTATAGATATTAATGAACGTTTAATTAAATTGGAAGCTGATAAAACTAACATTCAAACTCGCATATTAACGGAAGTTACAGCACAACGAAAGCTTGTTCAAGGAGGAAATAAGCCTCGTATGTTGCTACCACAAAAATCCTTCAATAATATTGAAGGCATCGACAAATTAGAAGCGGATTTAAATAAATCAGCAGAATTGTTTGAAAAACTGGTAAGAAAAACTAAAAATGTTCTGTAATTTTTAATAAAGTGCAGTCGTTTATTTTTTATATTTCCATTTCTTTTTTAGGAATCAGAAATGAAAAAATATAATTTTTCTGATCCTGCCAAATTTTTGCGCACGATGTTTAAGAAAATATTTTCAGATGAGGTTGCACTGATGTATTCGTCGAAGCGGACTCACGCTATGAAATGTGTAAAGAGCATGACGACAACGGCAGCCGTGATAAGTAAGAATTGTTACACTTAAAATATTTTACTTGTATCAATTTTTCCATTCTTTAAACTAACGTTTTTTTACTTTTTTTGAATGCTTTTAATAAAAAATTTGCCCTTGATGACAATCAATTTTCAATAATAAAAAGCAAATGGTTTCAAACCGCTAAAGACAGAGTAAAATATTATACAGTTAAGAATAATGTAAATAAGGTAAACTAAAAAATGAATTAAAATTATATATAAGTAATATTAATATATATAAGTTAAATTAAGATTTACTTTAAAACAAATAAAAAAAATCTGAATTCAATTAGTAAAATTATTCCAAAAAAATTATTATTCTTCAATTAAGTGTCTGAAATGATCCTTTTTAGAGGCGATTTAGGTGCCTAAAAATGCTTCAATTAAGTGTCTGAAATTATCCTTTTTAGTGGCGATTTAGGTGCCAAAAAATGCTTCAATTAAGTGTCTAAAATGATCCTTTTTAGATTTCGGTGCTTAAAAATGATACTTTTATGAGCATTTTCTGTGCATTTTCAGTGTTTGATTAGGAGGGTGAAAGCACTTATTTCTCTGTCAAAAAAGAGTCATATTAGACTCGGGAATCGACCCTCTTAAAGAACGACCGTTTTCAAGAAAAACAAGAAAGGAAAGCTAACTTCGGGCGGAGCCGAAGTTGATATACCCTTGCAGTTGAAACCGGATATATATCGCAAAAATCGGATATAGTTGGCCGATCCTTATGAGAATATGATGATATAACCCAATTTATTATAAAATAAAATCTAAAAAAAGTCCTAAACTTCTTTCTTCAAAAATACCAAAGTTGATATTTTTATCAAAAACCATTTCCGATCGTTCAGTTATATGGCAGCTATAGGATATAGTCGACCGATCCCTATGAAATTTGGCTTGTCGTATTATTTTGCCAAAAATAGCTCTCGTGTAAAATTTGAAAACTCACTAACTCTAAAAACACCAAAATTATACCATTTCCGATCAATCAGTTATATGGCAGCTATAGGATATAGTCGGCCGATCCCGTTCCGACTTATATACTGCGTGCAAAGGAAAGAATGGTGTGCGCAAAGTTTCAAGTCGATAGATTTAAAACTGAGAGACTAGTTTGCGTAGAAACAGACAGACGGACAGACGGACATGCTTATATCAACTCAGGAGATGATCCTGATCAAGAATATATATACTTTATAAGGTCGGAAATGTCTCCTTCACTGCGTTGCACACTTTTGACCAAAATTATAATACCCTCTGCAAGGGTATAAAAATAGCAACTAGCCTTCTAGAAAACAAAAACGGGCAAAACAAGCTTTGCTGGGATTGCTAGTTAACAATATATTAAAAAATATTTATTAAAACTACATCAAAAATAAAATGGCTTTTTTCTGGTTCTTTGTTAATTTGATCTAGCCGTTTCTAGCAGGTTTTGAAGGTTACTTTAGCATTTTATTGTCCGGTAAAGTTGCCAGCACTGGTTTGGACTTGAGACCAATGAGTAAAAGCTGCTAGTAGCAGGTTCAGAAGGTTAAACTTGAGCCCTCATTCTTGCTAAAACCCATTTAAAAATATTTTTGCTCAATAATCACAGAGATGCAGACAATGCGGGGGGCTTCAGCCGACTCCAATCCGGGTGCTGTCATCATACATGGCCTACAAAAGTCCGGAACCCACAGACGAGCTAGTGACAAGGGTAACGAATGATAGCGAGAAGCACGACATTGGCCTCCTAATAGGATGTGATTCCAATGCTCACCACACTCAGTGGGAGAGCACAAACATTATTATTTGCCTTATTTGACAGCACAAAAATAAAAAAAAAATGAGAGAAAAATTTCACTGAGAAAAATTGTCTCTGAAATTTGGTTGGAACAAGTTTTCTTTATAAAAAATATAGATAGGGAAGCGTAGTTTTTCAATTGTTAAAAAACTGTTGCGAGAAATGCTTTCTTTAATATAAAATTCACTATTTTAGTGCCCAGTCAAACTTTTAAATTAACGGAAAATGAAATAAAAAACTAGGTTTTTTTGGAATCGACAGTGTTCAAGCATTGAACACGATTTTAAATACAAATTCTAAAGATAGAGCTTCAAGAGATCGGACCCTTGGAAATAAGAGATAAACAGCATGGTCCAACATATCCGTTGCAGCCTAACACAAATATATAAGTAGTGCGCTTATCACTGGAAATTATTAGATAAACACTCATTCTCCGACCACAGATACGTAGAAAATTGTATACTTTTTAAAAGCTCAAAGTCAGAAATTTTATAAAAGCCCCGGAAAACTAACTAGTCTAAATATTCCCAAATCCATGCAAACAAAATCACACCACAAACACCAGAATTGCCACAAAACATAGAAAACCTGGACACATAATATCTGGTACATAAATTCACTTAAGCCTGCAACAACTCCCTTAAAAAGGTTGTCAGAGCTAGCTACTATAGCTATTACTATAGCTACTACTATAGACAAAAATAACACGACCCACCAAATTTCATAAGGATCGGCCGACTACTTCCGATGTTTGCGATATATATCCCGTTTTATCTGCAAAGGTATATCAACTTTGGCTCCGCTCGAAGATAGCTTTCCTTTCTTGTTTTTAAAAAAATTTTGTTTAAACATTATTTCTATTATTCTGAAATTTTCAATTTAAATTCATTGTATATGTGTAATTCGGTGTTGCTGCTTGTTGTCGGTTCTGGCTCTCTCTCTTGTGCTCTCATCGCTCTCATTGCTTTTTCAGCGAGCTATGAGTGTTGATGTGGATAGCGAGTTGAGAGCGGAGTCAGTCGAACACCAGCAGCGATCTGAATCGGATTTAGTCATAACTAATAAAGGAATTATAAAAAGCAGTGTATTGGTGTTCTACTTCAGGGACATTTGTTATATCTATACAAAATACAATAACAATTACAAGTAAACAATTAAAAAAAATTAAGTAAAACGAAAATGGTCGTTAACAACGCATCAATTGCGCAATTAAAAAGGTGGTTAAGTGTGTTACGGCTACCGACCACGGGAACCAAGCGCGAATTAATATTGCGCTTAAATAAAATTACAACGGAAACGCGAAATTATCTGGAATCGATTAGGAATCAAGACCAAACGGTGATGGAAATAACGGTGAAGACGAATATGAAGAAGATCTGGAATTAGAGAACAACGAAGATGACAACTATAATGGCGACGACGATGGAGGCAAAAACAACGACAAAGCTGGAGGCGAAGGAAATGACAAACACGGAGGTGAAACAAAGGGAAAAGATGGCGATAAAAATGAGAGCAAAGTTGGCGGCGATCGAAGTGGAAAAGACGAAGGCAAAATAAACAGCAAAGATGGAGATGAAAGCAGCAGCGAAGCCGGCAGCGAAAAAAACAACAACGATGGCGGCGAAGGAGAAGACAGGGTGGAAAATTATGCACGGAATAACAGGAATGAAGCTAGCAGCAGCGGCGCAAAAGAAGGCGCCAGTGAAGAGGTGAAAAAGCAATTTCACAACCCAAGCACCGACATTTCGTTGTGTTCAAGCATTGAATCGGACCCATGAAATACGAGAAAAACTGCATGATCTAAAACCGATCCCCTTCAGCCTAACACATATACATACATAAGTGGAGCGCTTATCGCACTTGAGAAAGGGTCGCATAGCAGGTCAGCGTGCAGTGCGTTGATAAGTAGTTTTAAATAGATTTAAGATTTTCATGTAACTTACTTATAAGAGAATTTTACAAAATAAAAACAGTTTCTAAATGGAATTCATTGGAGAAAGACCTTTACTTTGGGCTCCTCTTAACATTTGGTCCTTCGAGACACCCTAAAGTTTCCCCCCTGTGGTAAGAGACTCAGGTTTTAAAGTGGCACCTATAAGTGGCTGCAAAAAAAATAAAAATTCTCAGCCCATGGTAGCTAAAAAATAAGGCTAAAAAATAAGAACTTAGAGAATAAAATTATAAAAATGCCAATGAGTATCACGTAATAAAATAAAAAGATTTCAAATCGAAAAGTGTGTTTTTGTTTCGGAACTACTCCGAAATTAACAAAAATTACACAATGCGACAAAAAAAAAATTGGAGGAACTTGTAAAGAGACCTAGTAGGAATTGTTTATTAGGTCGAATATAAAACAAAACCGTGTTTGTAACACCCTCAAAATCTTGATTTATTTGGAAAAAACCGTTTTTCGTGTTTTTTTTTCACTTAAAAATTCCTAAACGCGTAATATTGAACCGATTTTAAAATTACCGACGTTTTTTATTAGTTAAATGTTGTTGCTTTAAAAAAAAAAAATGTATCTTAAATTTTTTTATACAAACCTTTTTTATACATACTGACCTTTTGGCATTTTTTTTTGTGTTTTTGGGTAACACAAACTTAGAAGAACTTACAAGATATGCTATCATTATACCCTTGCAGAGGGTATTATAATTTTGTCCAAAAGTGTGCAACGCAGTGAAGGAGACATTTCCGACCTTATAAAGTATATATATTCTTGATCAGGATCATCTCCTGAGTTGATATAAGCATGTCCGTCTGTCCGTCTGTCTGTTTCTACGCAAACTAGTCTCTCAGTTTTAAATCTATCGACTTGAAACTTTGCGCACACCATTCTTTCCTTTGCACGCAGTATATAAGTCGGAACGGGATCGGCCGACTATATCCTATAGCTGCCATATAACTGATTGATCGGAAATGGTATAATTTTGGTGTTTTTAGAGTTAGTGAGTTTTCAAATTTTACACGAGAGCTATTTTTGGCAAAATAATACGACAAGCCAAATTTCATAGGGATCGGTCGACTATATCCTATAGCTGCCATATAACTGAACGATCGGAAGTGAACAAACTTTTGTGTCTTTGAAGATAGAAAGGTGGAACTTGGTACACATTCTATTTTTGGTCAGTTAATCCGATCTACCAAATTTCATAACGATCGGTCGACTATATCTAATAGCTGACATACAACTGAATTATTGGAAATGGTTTTCGGTAGAAATACCAACTTTGGTATTTTTGAAGATAGAAGCTTGGGGCTTTTTTATACCCTTGCAGAGGGTATTATAATTTTGGTCAAAAGTGTGCAACGCAGTGAAGGAGACATCTCCGACCCTATAAAGTATATATATTCTTGATCAGGATCACCTCCTGAGTTGATATGAGCATGTCCGTCTGTCCGTCTGTCTGTTTCTACGCGAACTAGTCTCTCAGTTTTAAAGCTATCGTCTTGAAACTTTGCACACACCCTTCTTTCCTTTGCACGCAGTATATAAGTCGGAACGGCCCGGATCGGCCGACTATATCTTATAGCTGCCATATAACTGATTGATCGGAAATGGTATAACTTTTGTGTTTTTAGAGTTAGAGAGTTCGAATTTGACATGAGAGCTATTTTTGGCAAAACATTACGTCATGCCAAATTTCATAAGGATCGGCCGACTATATCCTATAGCTGCCATATAACTGAACGATCGGAAATGACCCAACTTTCGTGTTTTTGAAGATAGAAAGGTGGAATTTAGTACAGATTCTATTTTTGGTCAGTTAATTTCATTAGGATCGGCCGACTATATCTCATAGCTGCCATATAACTGAACGATCGGAAATGGTATTTGGTAGAAATATCAACTTTCGTATTTTCGAAGATAGAAGTTTGGGACTTTTTTTAGATTTTGTATTGTAATAAATTGGATTATATATTCCTATTCAGATAAGGATCGGCCAACTATATCCGATGTTTGCGATATATATCCGGTTTTAACTGCAAGGGTATATAAACTTCGGCTCCGCCCGAAGTTAGTTTTCCTTTCTTGTTTTTAGATATTTTATTGTAATTAATTGGTTTTATTATGATATTCTCATAATGATCGGCCAACTATATCCGACGTTTGCGATATATATCCGGTTTTAACTGCAAGGGTATATCAACTTCGGATCCGCTCGAAGTTAGCTTTTCTTTCTTGTTTTTGACACATATCAATATTTTCGCATTAATCCTGAATAAAACGAGACCAATTTGATTAAGAAATTATGAAAATTGTTGAAGTTATAACGCTTTTCCCAAAACAAGTCAGTGAAATTTTATTAGCGCTACAGAGTAAAGGTGTGTAAAAGAAAGGAATAAGCGAAATGGAAGGGCACCTTATTGCTCCGAAACGCTAGCAGGATTGCACTGAATTGTTTTAGGAAAAGTATTATAACTTCAACAATTCTAATAATTTTGTAATGAAATTTGTCTCGTTTTATTCAGGAATAATGCGACAATATTAATATGTGTCAAAAATAATACCATTTTTGGAAGTTGTACCGAAAAAATGGCGTCAAAGTCCAAAAAACACGACAAAAATTCAAAAATGTCAGATTCTTGTGTAAAAATCGTATTCTATTTGTTTTAATTAATTAATTTTTTGAAAGCTACAACATTTAACGCTCGCACACGCACACGGGTCTGGCCAGGCATATTTCGTTAACGTTAATTTTACTTACTCCCAACTAAGATATCGAAAATTGCTTCCAGGTAATCTCCACAAATTCTATTGGCTTCCGATATGTGCATTTTATAATTGAAAAAAGTCCTTAAAACAGGACAAAAAAAAAGATTTAAAATCCGCACCTTTCTACACGCACTTGGTGCCTGGCCAGACCCCTATATATTTTTTACGGAAAAATACGGATTTTACATAGGATATTTGTTTTCATGCATTTCGTCCTTATTAACGATCTTATTGCTTATTCTTTTATTTCTCGTTCTTGTTTTGTTTTCATGTGTGAGTCATTTTTCGATAAAAAGCTGAACAGAAAATAAATACTGTCAGAGCTGAAAAACTTTTTTCGCTGTAATTTTTCGTTTGCTTGTTTCATTTTTGTCAATCATAAGTGATGAAGTGGAATTCGTTTATAATATGCGATCGCGTTACAAAAATCAAAGTACGGATTTTCACGCACGTTTATCAGCGGCGTCGAAAAACTCGATTTTACTGCTGTAAATGTACGAATCGAAAATCGAATATATATGCTTCGCATGCCTTCCCCAGAAGACATGAAGAAATTTGATGTTATGTTTAACTACAAAACTCATTACTATTCCATTTCTTTTGTATTAAAAACTTTGTTGTGGCTCATAATAAATGATAAAAAAGAACGAAAGAAAAAGTTGTTTTCTCTCACATTCTGGATATTTTTGCAAGTTTATTTTTCCTCACATAGGAACTCTTATCTAAGTCGAAATAAAATAAATTGGTCAGAAATAAAAATATTTACCTATTCAAGATAAAAATTCGACCGCATGCAACTCTAATTCCCATACAAATGCATGTAAACGTATAGGGGTCTGGCCAGGCACCATGTGCGTGGAATAAGTTTTTAAAATATGTGCGTGTACGAAGGTTAACTATTAAAAAACGTCGGCAAAAAAGTCCCGAAAACGCGTTTTTTCTAAATAAATAAAGATTTTTATAGAACGGTTTGTTCTATGGTATATTCGACCTAATAAACAATTCCTACTAGGTCTTTTCGAAAGTTCCAAATTACTGTCGCACTGTGTTATCGCAAAATCACTGTGTTATTTGTGTATTAGCGAGTCCGAGGCTCTACATCGGAAAAATACAAATTATAAAAAAAAAACAAGAAAGGAAAGCTAACTTCGGGCGGAGCCGAAGTTGATATACCCTTGCAGTTAAAACCGGATATATGTCGCAATCATCGGATATAGTTGGCCAATCCTTATGAGAATATGATAATATAACCCAATCTATATATATAAAAATGCTCTGTTCGTATCTACTTCCTTTATAGACTTGAAAAGTTCTGAAGCGTTTAAGGATGTAGTCTCATGTGTGAGGTTGAAAAAATCGATTTTTTTCACATATTTCGAAAGTACTGTTTATTAAGAATGTACTGTTAAAGTTTCAAATAAAAACTTCAAATAATGACAGAGATACAGCCCATAATCGAGAGCGTGCCTAAACCGAATAGTATGAGTTACTCGGTAGCGTCTAAACTTTAAACGCGTTTTTCTCGGAACGACATTTTTGTGTGCGGCGCAGGTGATTCACAAAATTCTATGGTATAGTCCTTTACGTTCTTCTCTCCTTGGGCTGTTGGACTCTTTTTTTTTTTCTTTTTAGAAACGCTCTAACACTTGAATGTCGGACTCACCAAAGGCGGCCCTCTAACTCAACGCTACAAGCTTCCTCAAAAAAAAAACTAGTCACGATTCGCTCCAATGGGCCTCCTTACATATTAATTGGAGCACCCATTAGTCCTCCTAGATACTGCTCCTGCCGTTAATCCTTCTTCCAAAATCATGCTACTTTCTTGTTGGCGGGTCCGTCCGTGACCGCGCGAAGTTGCTATGCGGACTTTGCGGGCCCGCTACACTTTATGTCGCCCCCTCCACTCCTTGCTCCACCGTTGATGCCAACCCCGCCGCACTTTCTAAACAGTCTGCTTTATCCCGGCGCGCTGCCCCCCTCACTGCTCCTTCTGTCTCATCCTTACTTTTCCCCATCTCCCCGCACTGCATGTGTAAAAAAGCCCCAGCGCTTGACCGCTTT